TGAAATCTTCTGTTAGTTCTAGTAGTTTTCTTGTGGATTCTTTGGTGGTTTTCTGTGTGTAAGCTCATATCATCTGCACATAGAGATACTTTGACTTCTTCCCTACCAATTTGGATGCACTTTATTTCTTTTTCTAGCCTAATTTTTCTGGCTAGGACCTCCAGCACAATGTTGAATAAGAGTGGTGATAAAGGGCGTCCTTGCCTGGTTCCCATTCTTAAGGGGAATGCTTTCACACTCTCTCCATTTAGGATGATGTTGGCGGTTGGCTTTGTATAAATGCCCTTTATTATGTTGGGGAATTTCCCTTCTATTCCTGTTTTGTTGAGAGTTTTTATCATGAATGGGTGTTGGACTTTGTTAAATGCCTTTTCTGCATCGATTGATAACAGCATGTGGTTCTTGTCTTTTGTTTTATTAGTGTGATGGATTACGTTGATTGTTTTTCTAATGTTGAACCACCCCTGCATACCTGGTATAAATCCCACTTGATCATGGTGAATTATTTTTTTGATATGTTGTTGAATTCTGTTGGCTAGAATTTTGTGGAGGATTTTTGCATCTATCTTTATGAGGGATATTGGTTTGTAATTTTCTCTTTTTGTGGTGTCTTTACCTAGTTTTGGCATCAGGGTTATGCTGATTTCAGAGAATGAGTTCTGGAGTATTCCATCTGTTTCTATGCTCTGATATACCTTTAGTAGTAGTGGTGTTAACTCTTCTCTGAAAGTTTGGTAGAATTCTCCAGTGGAGCCATCTGGGCCAGCGCTTTTTTTTGTTGGAAGTTTTTTAATTACCTTTGCAATCTCTTTTTTTGTTATAGGTTTATTTAGTTGTTCTACCTCTGTTTGTATTAGTTTAGATAGGTAGTGAGTTTCTAGAAATTTGTCCATTTCCTCTAGGTTTTCAAATTTGTTAAAGTTCAGTTTTTCATAGTATTCTGTTTTGATTCTTTTAATTTCAGTTGGGTCTGTTATGATACCACCCATCTCATTTCTTACATGGGTTATTTGCTTCCTCCTCTGTTTTTCTTTTGTCAGTTTGGCCAGCGGTGTATCAATTTTGTTGATCTTTTCAAAGAACCAGCTTTTGGTCTTGTTAACTCTTTCAGTTGTTTTTCTATTCTCTATTTCATTTAATTCTGCTTTGATTCTTATTAATTTTCTTTCTTCTGGCACCTGAGGGCTTCTTTTGCTGCTCTCTTTCTCCTTGTTCGAGTTGTAGGGTTAGTGTTTTGATTTTGGCCCTTTCTTCTTTTTGGATGTGTGCATTTATTGCTATAAACTTACCTCTGAGCACTGCTTTTGCTGTGTCCCAAAGGTTCTGGTAGGATGTGTTTTCATTCTCATTTGACTGTATGAATTTCTTTATTCCATTCTTAATTTCTTCTATAACCAGTAGTTTTTGAGCAAGGTGTTATTCAGTTTCCATGTGTTTGATTTTTTTTCCTTGCTTTTTGTGTTGTTGATTTCCACTTTTATGGCTTTATGGTCAGAAAAGGTGGCTTGTGATATTTTGATGCTTTGTATTCTGTTAAGGCTTGCTTTATGGCCTAATATGTGCTATTGTAGAGAATGTTCCATGTGCATTGGAGAAGAAAGTATACTTGGCTGCTCCTGGGTAGAGTGTTCGGTCTATGTCTATGTGATCTCGTTGGTTGATTGTAGCGTTTAGATCTTCCGTGTCTTTGTTGAGCTTCTTTCTGGATGTTCTGTCCTTCCCTGAAAGTGGTGTGTTGAAGTCTCCTAGTATTAATTGTGGAGCTGTCTCTCTTTTCAATGCTGTTAGAGTTTGTTTTATGTATTTTGGAGCCCTGTTGTTGGGCATGTAAATATTATAGTTATGTCCTCCTGGTGTATTGACCCATTAATCAGTATATAGTGTCCTTCCTTATTGTTTGTGGTGGATTTTACTTTAAAGTCTATTTTGTCAGAGATCAATATTGCCACTCCTGCTCTTTTTTGAGTGTTATTTGCTTGATATGTGGATGAATCACTTTTGAGGGTGATCCATCTACTGAGGGGGGGCTTCCCACGTGTTCATGAGAGAATGCCTTGCTCGTGTCATATAAATATTTTCAGGAATTTTAGAGTATATTTCCTATGTTCTAGCTCCTACCTTCAGTCAGTATAGAGAAGAAAAATCTGGAAAGCCCAAGGTATGGCCTCTATCATAAACAAGTCCATGTATTACTATCAGAAGCTGTTATGTTGAGACAGGACAGATACAGAAATTCTTCCAAGAAAAGTGTAGTGTAGACATATTCGAAGTATTCTGGGCCAAGAAGTAGAAGCTGTCCTTTGGAATTTGTAAGCATTGCATCCTACCCTATGGCTGTCTGAAATGCTATTGGTGAAATGGGAGTCAGAGCCAAGTAGAACGTTGTCTCCGTGAGACTATGGCTGAGCAACATGCCTGCATCTCCACTTTCAGAGAGAGCTGGGAAAGCAGCACTCATGCAGACATTAGCTACGAATGCACTGTGCTCAGGAGATCTCTAAATGGTCAATAATGTAGTTGAGCGTTTTTCTCCTAATAGCCAAGGCTGCTCTGATCTAATGTAATTTAAGAACATTTTCACAACAGATAATGGAATAGCTTACAAAAACTTCCTTGAGGCATTAAGATATGATTTTTCTCCTAGTGTGTGTCTTTAAGCAACTTTAAGCAACTCTTGCATTCAAAAGTGAAGAGCTCTAGGTCCAGTGAAGAATTAATCTGCTTTAATCCAGTTAATACAAATGATTGATTTCAAGAAAGGAGAGGGGAAGGCATGTGTAGATTCTGGCCCCAGCATCTTATCACTGGTTGTGGCTCCCAGCTGTAATTTCAGCTGTTTCATGAAATGGAATGTGCTTTAAGCAGACCTGTGGTGGAGGGGGTGGGAGTCCCTTTGCTAGACACATCAGGGAAGCACTGGGAGCCGTCCGTGTGTTTTCCTCCAGATGCCAAGGCATTGACCGTTCTTGGAGACGCAACTGAATTTCAGCTCAGTTAAGTTCCTCTTGAAGCATTCTTGATAGTTCAGACACACAGCTTTTTTGCACACCTGACAGCAGCTATAGAGACCTGCATTAGTTTTCTAGGGCTGCTGTACCAAATTTATCACACACTGGGTGTCTTATAAGAACAGAAATTATCGTCTCACAGTTCTGGAAGCTAGAAGTCCAAGTCAGGGTTTCATCTGTGTTGGTTTTTTCTGAGGGCTCTAAGAATCTGCTCCCTGCCTCTCCTAGCTTCTGGTGATGGCCAGTGATCCTTTGCTCATAAATGTATCTTTATGTGGCCGTCATCTCTCTGTCTCTGTGTCTCTTCTCTTTTAGAAGGATACCACTCAGATGGGATTAAGACCCACCCTAGTCCAGTATGACCTCATATTAACCTAACTGATAACATCTTCAAAGACCTTATTTTCAAAGAAGGTAGTGTTCACAAGTACTAGGTTAGGACTTCAACATATATTTTGAGGGTAAACAATTCAACTCGTAACAAGACCTGAGGTGGGTCCATGTCTTCACATCTGTTGTGTCTTTTGGGTTAGTCACCGTCTTTCCCCCAATCACTTCCTTAGTTCTTCCAGATATGCTCAGAGCAGTTTCTAGTCTCCGTCTACATGGACTTTCTGAGCCTGGATAAGTGCAGTTAATTGAACAAACCAAGAATGTTCTTTGTGTTTATTTCCTGAAGAGTCATATCTGCTTTCCTGGGGGTGGTTATTTCGTCCACTGGACTTGCACATGTTGGGTCACACAGAGCACCATGTTTTCGAGTCTTTGATCAGAAGAAACATCTGAGTAAACTTCAGTGAGGTTTATCAGACCAGGTTTTAAGATTCACAACACCTCCGTCCTCTGCTTTGACAGTGCTGGTGGGTGTGTGAGCCCAAAGATATTTCACGAATTTGATTGTTTTTATCACCATAAACACTAATCCAGTATTGTTCACTGCATGAACCCTGCAGTTAATGATGCAGTAAAATTTGTACACACCGATGATCTTAGTTACTTACTGCTGCCATAATAAAAGTACCACAGGTGGGTGGATTTAAAGAACCTGTAAACCCATTATCGTCGAGTCAATTTTGACTCATAGCGACCCTATAGGACAGAGTAGAACTGCCCCATAGGGTTTCCAAGAAGCAGCTGGTGGATTCGAACTGCCGACCTTTTGGTTAGCAGCTAAGCTCTTAACCACAGCACCACCAGGGCTTCCTTTAAAGAACAGGAATTTGTTTTCTCACAGTTCTAGGGGACAAAAGTCTTAATCAAGACTTCAGCCACGTTAATTCCTTCTGTGCACCTCTCCGTAGTTTCTTGTATCTGCTGGAATTCCTTGAAGTTCCTTTGCTTGTAGTCCTCACATGACACTTGAAATCCCTCTGTGTCTCTGTGTCTGGTCTGCTCTTTCAATAACATAACAAAAGAAAACCCCTATTTCTAAACAGGATCACATTCACAGGTAGAGGCGCCAAAATGTCAGTAGATATTTTAGGGGGACACAATTCAATCCATGGCATCAGTCTGATCTTTTAACTTGCATAGTGTTTTAAACATCCCCTCCATAACCAATCTCCTAAGATAGGTGAACTCAGTTTTTCTGTGTTTAAACCAAACTTCTGAAATCCCTTAGAAGTAGATTAGGCTTTGCTAGTTAATGTGTGTTTGCTGTTTTTTTTTTTTTTTTTTTTTTTTTTTTAAAGTGGCTAACTGCTTCTCAGAATCAAGGAGCTCTTGGGTGGAGTTTGAGTGTTGTGTTAAGTTGATAGAAGACCAGCCTAGAGCCAACACTGTCTCAGGATATTCGAGAACAAAAGCTTATCAGTCTAAAGCAGTAACCTAAACAGTGGAGATTGGTTCTCAGATACTGTCCCCCTAAGACAAGTCCCTAATTTCCCTATCTGAACATAGGGCTATCTGCTTTTTTTTGTTTTAACTTGAGAAGAATTTGCAAGCAATAATTAACACAAGTTTTAAGTTTTTCTTTTCTTGTTCTGTTAAAAGCTTTTCACAGATGCCAACAAGTTCTGTCAAAGATGAGACCAATGACAATATCACCATATTTACCAGGATCTTGGATGGGCTCTTGGATGGCTACGACAATCGGCTGCGGCCTGGCCTTGGAGGTGAGTGGGCCCTTCTCCTTGTGGAAGCTGGTGATTTCCCAGGAACAGCTGAAATCCATCTCAGGTCTTGTTTGCTGTGATTCCAAGAACATTGCACCGAGGGTGTTTAGGTTCCTGAAATAGCTTCCCTGCCAGAATTTGGAGTCCCTGATTGTTTCACCCATGGCAGGGATCATGCATCCTTTAATATTGTTTTCCAGATGCAAGAAGCTGCAAGCAAGGTCTCCCTAACATATTCCTGCACACTCTCACTTTCTCAGAGAGTCTTAACTTCCACTTTGGTCACTTAAGGAGGAACCTCCAACCATTTCTTAGTCCTTATTAAAGCTGAGTCTACCCTGTGTTAAGAAATGTGGTCAACTTCTTTTATCTAAGTGAGTAGTTTTCAGAAATTCAGTGTTAAATGCAGCTATTCTTTACATCTTAGCATATTATATGATTAATTTTTCACTAGGGCCATAGTCATAGTATACACTTTGATTGTCTGAAAGTTGATAAAAAATAAACATAATGGAATGGGCTTTCAGGTCACAATTTGCACAGCTTTATTTTGTAGCTGAGTCTTGTGTTCAGTTTCCAGGCAGACAATGTCCTTGACTCTAGCAGATTCTTAGGCAGTACACTAGAACTTGCTCTATTAGGTAAGTAGGGACCCTTAGGCACATACAATTCTCCAGGAAAAAATTTAGTTCTTCTCTTGTGTTTTCATTCTTAACGGTGAGATCCACTTAAAGGACCAATTGCCCTTTTTTCACCTTTTTGGCAAGAAAAGTCCAAATGGGTTTCTTGACAACACCTTTCTTCATCTCATTAATTATGTCCCCAGAACTCTACTCTCCAGAAGTGTGGTGTGTTTGCCTGCTATCTGGTCACTTTCAACACTCCTGAGATGCTGGAAGCACCCAGAGGCCGGATGAGCCTCCTCTATTCATTCATCCCTCTTTCATCCAACATGAGTTGCATGTACTGCATGAGCTGGGCACAGAGGATCCCACAGGAGCAAATGGGCTGGGGATGGGGGCAGGCATGGAAACAAACGAGCATTGTACGAACGCACACCCACATTCAGACATGCACCACACAAATATGGAATTGCAGCACTCATGGGCTGCTCTGGACCATGACAATACTGTTGAGCAATTTGAGGTATTTAATTGGAGCCCTGGTGGCGTGGTGGTTAAGAGCTTGGCTGCTAACCAAAAGGTTGGCAGTTCAAATCCACCAGCTGCTCCTTAGAAACCCTATGGGGCAGTTCTCCTCTGTCCTGTAGAGTATGAGTCGGAATTGACTCGACGGCAACGGGTTTAGTGTGGGCACTAATGCACTCTGAATATAGGCCCTGCTTGGGACTAGAAGGCTTTTCATGGCCCTGGGATTTTCCAGGGAACACATATATTTTTTCCCCAGTGTTATTAATAATTTGTATTGCTTTATACATTTTTTCAATAATTTTAATTCATACAGAATACAAAACACTATATAAGGTGAAGTGAATCTCCCTTCCCCAGCCATCCCTGCCCCGGGGCCATGGTCGATACTTTCTTGTACATCGTTTCCCCGAGAGCACCTGGTGCCGGTGTTTTTATTGGAGATGCCTTCAAAGTCCTTCTTCTCTCCTCCTCCTACATCGTCTATGCCTTTTTAAAGCTCCCAGTTATGGAGGACAGGGTCACTCACTGAGGTTGGTAATACTGTTCCAAGTTTATAGATGAGGAACTGAAGCACAGGTGTTTATGAAAATCACCCAGAGTCACACACTAGGATTCAACCCATGTTTGTTTATGGCCACTCCTGGAGGGTGCAGAAATATAATGAGGGCCAGACAGCTTCTTTATGTTATGGGCATTTTATTTCATGTTATAGTGTGGAGCCATTGGTTTTGTGTGGGACTTGTCAGTTGTCCAAATTTACCCAGGAATTATAGAAGCCCTCTGGGTGCAAAGAGTGACATGTGCTTACAGAATGAGAAAGTAAATGCCCGCCATGTGCTCACTGTGTGCTTGGTCGCCATGTGTTCACTGTATGCTCAGTCACCATGTGTTCACTGTGTGCTCGGCAGCCGTGTGTTGA